ATATCCCTAACAGGGAAAAACATAATGGGCAGCAATCTGGCCTAAGATAGATGGAGGCTGAATTATGCAAGATTCTGAGCAAAGGACAACCCTGTAACATCTAATGACTCATAAAGATATAAGGGATCTGTCTAAAAACTAGGGTGACAGAGCACTGGAACAGGCTGCCCAGAGAGGTTGTGGAGTCTCCTTCTCTGGAGATCTTCCAAACCCGCTTGGATGCAGTCCTGTGCCACATGCTCTAGGTGTCCCTGCGTATGCAGGGGGGTTGGACTAGATGATCTCTAGAGGTCCCTTCCAACCCTAAGCATTCTATGATTCTATGATTCTATGATTCTATGAAACTAGTTTGTCATTGCCAGTGAAGAGAAACCTGAGAGATGCAGTGAGGACTCAACAGGTTCCTCTATGTTGCACACACCTGATCCTGGCCATATTATTTGGACACATATGTTTTGGTGTTCATGAGTATGTGTAAAATAAGCTTTTTAAAGTATTTATGGTATGTCCTGAAAATCCCAGCCACAATGAAACATATCACAGATTTTCTCACTGGTAGTCTGTGAAATCATAACAATAAAAATAGGTCAGCCCTTTGCTAGATATATCAGCATGAAACAGACTTTCTTCCACTGCTGCAAATCCTGTGGTTGGGGACAGATGATCTCCAGAAGTCCTGACTAATTCCAACTCTTCTGTGATTTGGTGATCTGCTTTGTTCACTTCCCACAGCATAAAGTGGAATGACTACGAGCTTGTTGTCTATTCAGTTCCAACAGCCATTTTTTTTCCAATTACACGTCTTAACACTGTCATCTCACAGATGGCTTCTTTATTAATTATTTCACTCCAAATTGTAAGTACATGTTCTCATACTAGTTATATTTCTATTTTCTCTTCTACAGAGTCTGGGCTTAGAATACAATTTTTCTTTTTCACTTAAAGTGGTTAAAGACAGGAGCTCTGAAACAGTATATGACAAACAACATATGCCTGATTCGTTAGGTTACAAAATATAGTCTGCATTTTAAGACTCAAAAAGCAGATCTCTGACATATATATACAATGGTAATTACCTATGGAATGTATCATGTAGCCTTGAGGAGGATCTCGAGGAGGCTGGCTGCCATTTGTCATAGCTGGGTTCGGTCGAGACACCAGACCTTCATATGCTTCATCTAAGTCCAAGGAAAGGCAGTGATGAATCCTTTGCTAAATCTGGGGGCTTTGCCCAAACACTGTTACTTTTTTTTCCTCTTGCTACTTACTAGGACACAGATTATCTTTCTGTCATTGAACATAACAGGAAGAATGAAGCAATTGTTCAACTGCAAGAAGAATTGAAGAACCTTACCCTTAAAAAGAAAACTTTGGAGAAAAAGGTAGATCTTCCTGAATGGTTGGTGAAAGTATAAATGGGTTTGTTCGCAGCTTATAAAAAAGATTTTGTAGTCCAAAAACACAGCTGTCATTGACCCTCTTTCAGGAATGATTATCGAAGCTGTGGCTGATTCAGAGTGTTTCCATAACACTTTCCATGTGCTTCTCAGTGAAGGAAGTCTACTCTTTAAAATATTATTTGATTTTATATGTAGTAAAATGCATTATACATGATATTGTATTAGTTTTTTATCCTTATGACTGCTGAGATTTAGTTACCAGATTTTTAAGTCAGACCCTGGAAATGACTACGCAAAAAGCCACCCTCTACCTATGACATGAGGTATTACATCCTTATATTAAATCAGTCAAGAGATAATTCTTAAATTGTCCAATATAGTGTAAGCCCAAACCAGCCAAATTATTAATAGTTTATTCAGTAACATAGTAACCAAGAACAAACTCAAGAAATGCTTTCAGTGGTTCTAATATGGATAAGGGGTCTGTATCTGAAGATGTGCAACATTTTGTGTGCAGCATCATACAGTGCATACCAGTCCTTAAGGAGGCACTGGAAAGTATTTTGTTCACAGGAATTTGGTGGTAAAGAGTTTGAGCTCCATGGCTAGATAAGGAACTGTAGAAAGGATAATGTCTGTATCTATAGATCTTTTGTCCTCCTAGAGTTTTTACCAGTCATGTTATTTTCTCTATTAATGGCCTCAATGGCTTACTGACCTTGGGAACCCAGCTTAATATCATTAGAGTGCATACAACATATTGCCTTATTCTAGGCTTTTGGCATTTATTTGGAGTGTGCTCCAATTGGACTTTGTGTTTTGTCTGAAAAAAAAAACAGGAGGAAGTAAAATAGATGCACAAAACAAAATGAACAAACAGGTGAGGAATACATTTGTAGCCAGTCTTCAAAGAAGCAGGGATGAAAAGGGGCTCTGGTGTTGAGGTTGAATACAATTGTAATATTACAGTTGCCCTGAAGGATTCTTCTGTTAGTATCCAAAAGGGTGATTGCCAGCCACACAGGGTAGAGAAATAAGTGATGTGGACTGAATCTACAGCTCCTGTACTCCACAGGCTTTTCCTTCCCTTCAGACATCAGGAATTTGAGGTCTCTTAGGCCCATTGTAGACCACCTGGCTAAAATTTTATGGAGAAAAGCCTAAGCGAGTTGAAGATAACTGAATGTACAGGCTAAATGCCATGATACAAAGATCTGAACAGCTCTGAGTTATATAAAACACCTACTAGAAAGAGGCTCTACCTATAATATATAAAGCATTATCTCCAGTTCGGGGTTTATCATTAAGAGTCTATTCTTAAACTCTGTTGTTACAATTGATAGTTTTTATAAGACATGCATAGCATATATAAATTAGTTAAGTCTCATAATTTTTATCAAAATAAATGTTTAGTTACAGAAGTACATGAAAAGCATAGAAATCACAAGACAGTTAATTAATGAAATGAAATCTTTCCAAGATCAAGTTACTGAGGTAAGTTCATCACTGTTTGCAATTTAAAAAAAATTAGAGGTTTGAGGTTGTGTAGATGTTCTGAGCATTGTTAATGTAGCCATTACTATATATTGTGATCCTTTTCCCTCTTGCTTCTTGTTGTTTTGTGTTCATACAGAGCTTGTAAAACAGTCTGGAAGGTGATTAGGGGCCTGAAGTGCAGGAATGTATTATGTATGTAGTTATATATATATATGTATATATATATAGACATACATATATAATACAAGAGGTTCACGCAGCCTCAGCTTACTAGCTGAACACTGGCTTCTAGCTCCTAGCTGGACAGCAACTCAAGCTCCTTCCAGAGGAATGCTTGAGTACATACAGTCAATAAAATTTATGTGTGTTTCAGTGCACCATGTTACATAAACAAAGCAGGATGGTATGTTTGCACTGAAGTACTACAAGGTGGCTGGACACTGCTCACAAAACTTGGCTATCTCATTAGACTGGTAACTTCCCTAGTACAAACAAGTCCTCCTTTTTTCCCTCTTCCATTTCACAGGCTTATGCCTCATCCACCTCACAACTATTATTATTATAATAAAATATATTTATATTATAATAAGATATTATTATAAAATATAATTAAAATAAAATATAATAATCAGAAAATCCTGATCTTAGGAAGAAAGTCAAAAAGCATAACCCTAATGAAATCCTCCCAAATCAAGTTAAACTTTAATAAACTGAATCGTTTAGATACTAACATTAGTATACTGAATTATTTAAGTATTGTAAGTATGATAATTACATCATAGAATAAGAAAAGCAATATTTTCAGGACTAGAGGTAAGTTTAATGACAGATATGGATTTTCATTCAATTTTTATTAACAGCACATTTATCTACAGGATTCGGGAGCTGAGCATCAGAAACATGGAAATGGTACAAAATTGTCTGATTGGCACAGACCAGAATTAGATAAATATCACAAGCAAAACAACAAGCTTCAGAGCCAGGTGAAAAGACTGCACCTGACTGAAACAAACAAACAAAAAACATATAAGTTCTTGTCATGGATATCTGGCTGCCATTTAGTCACAAAGTATCTGTTCCTTTCACACTGTGTGATTAATGATACACTTTTTGGACATGCATAAGCAAATAAAAATACATTTTCTGGTAGTGTGAATTATATTAATTATAGTACACTGAATTTTCTCAGAAGTTAGTACTGTACAAGTAACTTCTTATCCTGAGGAAGTATTAAAGGAATTTTTCTAATATGATAGTCCTGGGAATTGCTGTAAGTGATTAATAAAAGGTTGCAGAAATTACTACCACTTTACATAGAGGCTGCCCTCTGTGCTTTCTCTTGGTGATTTTTTTTTTCTGTTTGCTAATTGCATGTTTATCACTATTTACATTTCTTATTGCTTTCTGAGATTGAAAAACTAAAAAATCATCTGGAGTTAAAGGAGGAAGAATGCAAGAGACTTACAGGAGAAAATGGCAAACTTCATGAAGATTTGAGAAGCATGACACTGAAGGTACAGAACCTTTGAAAACCCTGACTGGCCAGCTGCACAGACATAGTACTTAGAAACCTACTGTCAGTAAGATTCGATAGCTATCTGCAGCATATTGTATGTAGAGGTAATGAACCTTAAGATCGCATAAGTTTTTCATCTGAGCTCTGAAATGAGAAATATAAAGCAAAGTCAATGCTTGGGTGAGAAATCTAGGAAACTCCTACCTACATTTCATTTACTTTTTTTTTTCCCCTAATAGAAGGGGAGACTATATGATAACAGTGTCTTGTTTTGGTGTGTGTGGTATTTCATGTAAAAACTAAATCCCTGTAATATTCTTAAGTCAGTCCTTCTGAAATTCGTAGAATTATCTGTGCCAGGTGGAATACAGACCACAGAGCTGACTGATGCCAGCAGCCTCCTTTATCCATACAAAATATATATATTACTTATACATACATCTTTACATGTATATGCACGTGTATGTTTGTATATATCTCAGTTTTACAGGAATTAATCATTTTTAAATTTTATTTTTAAAGGTAGTATCATATGAGAAAATTACAGCATGCCCTGATGAAAGGCTTGAGAGTGCCCAGATACCACAGTAGGTTGCCTGATATTGCTATTGATTGTATTCCTTGTTGTGCTTGAACATACGTGTGAATGAGAGATGATACTTTCTCATATCACAGAATGAGAAAGAATAAATTATGATAATTTACAAAGGTAAATTTTTAGTGGAGAAAGCTACTATTACTAGAAAACTTAACAGCAAGTCCTATTTGTCTGATATGCATAATATATAAAACATAAAGGAGAAGATAAAAACATAAGCCAGAGTCCTCATGCAAGAGTTCTTTCAAGAGCAGGACAGCATATAGCACACTGTGAGGGCAGTTCTGTTGAATCTTGGCGGGCAGGATCACTGCAAACCTTCTGTCCACTCTGCTGTCTTCTGTTAGAGGACACCATCCTTTTGGGAGATGTAGAAAGAAACTTCTGATCCGTGCCTCAGCTCTTCCATACCATATTCCATATAAAGTACCTAGCAGTCATTGTGGCACCAGGCTATGACCTGAAGCCAACAAAGGAGGGGCACGTGTTGTTTGGCCAGCTCTGCTGTGAAAGGTACTGCCAGCTCTTGCCAGAAGGGCACACACAGGCAGTCCAGGCTGGGGCACCAGAGCAGCTCTGCGTGTCTGCGTTACACAGTAAAACAGGACACAGTGACCTGAGCTACAAGCAGGCGCAGCACCACGCTGCCGCACTTGCTTGCATTGTGAAGAAGCACAGTAACATTCTGGGAGCGCTGCAGAGCTGCTAGAAAGTCCTGCTGGATGTTAGCTTGTTTGTGGCCGGTTTAGATATCTTTGTATTGTCGCTCTCCAAAAATTCTGGTAATTTGGATGGAGCCATTGCTTGAACGTCTGTGCAGCAAGCACTTGTCCAGCTTGCACCTGCTTGGCTCGCAGTGGTCCCAAAGACTGCTCTTGTGTTTGGGCTACCTATGACAGGCACAGGAAAAGGACTTGGGAGCTCCCTTTGCTCCCACGGTAGGCTCCTAGTTCAAGGTTGCGCAAATTAAGCCTTTCGTAACACTGGTTGTTGATTGAGATGAGGGTTTTGCAATATATACAGCTTGAAGAATGCAAATTACTTTTACCAATAGGTTTTTAATTATATCTCCCTTCCAAGGCCAGGGAAAAAAAAAAAAAAAAGCTTGTTGGCACCAAAGGATGATGCCCTTTCTCACCTTTCTCATTCCATAACGTAAATAAATAATTGTTGCTAATGCAGTTATAGCCTAGCTATTTGGCAGACTTACATCTTTGTGCTAAAATTTCTCTCTTTACTGAATGGATACGGAATTCTTAAGCCCGTCTTTGATTAACAATGATGGAAATTACCTAGATTATCTTTAGCTTTCTTTCTGTTCCTTCTATTTCTCACAAACATGTCTAAAATAGGCTCTTGGAACATATCATTTCTCAGTGTATTTCTGAGGGGTTAATCCTTAGACAGGTATCTCTTTTCCAGATAAAACAGAGAATCTGGAGGTCTTTAAGAGAATTTCCTTTCTTGAATTTAAAATGGGTGACTTTCAAAGAACCCTCATAAATCCATGTAAACCTAGCAGATCTCAATAAGAGCTGCTGTATCTCCTTTGCTACTACCAGCTGGAAGCAGCAGAGAGGATTCCCATGGCTTCAGTTTGCAATATGAGCACTTGCTCATATGTATACATATCTACTTCTCTATATATACATTTATATAAAATTGGAGAAAGAGCCATACCTGAAGCACTCACAGCACAAACCAATAAAATGAATAAACCGTGGGAAAGGAAAATGAGACAGAGACTGGAAAAAATATTTGCCGAAATTCACACAAGAAACAAACCAAGGACAGAGCTGGTATCTGAAGCCAAGTCTCTTAATTCCAGGCCATAGGCCCTGTCTTTTTGCTTGTGTCAGCTTAATTTAAGCATTACAATTCTCTACTTCTTATGGAAAAAATATGCATATAAAATATTTGTAATGGAAAATATTGCTTAAAAACTGTTAGTGGGGAAAAAAAATTAGTTGTATTTCAACTTAACTCATATATGCATTTCGCCAATACACCTTTGGTTTACTTGGGCTCTTTTGGTCCCTCACACATAACTGACAGTCTTGAGCTGAGATGTTCCCCGAGAACCACCTGCTACATTTCCCAGATAGGTAACTCTGGGAAGAGATAGCAATACTCATCACAACACTCTCTTGATTTCAGCGGTCACGACAGAATTGCAGAAAGATACAAAGTCTCTAGACAGTAGAAAATTTTACAACTTTTGACACTGTTTCTTAAAAGCAGTAAAATTCGTTTTTATCTGTTAGCCTATGGAAAAAAAAAAGAAAAGTGCCACTGAAGGCAATGGCCTGCTGCTTTGTTTGTTTGCTTGCTGGATAAAGGAGTTACTATCAAAACTATTGCACTGAAGTGAACCTAATGGTAACAGGGAAGTAGTGCATGGTTACACCCAAAAGTATGTGTAGCTATAGCAAAGTCTGGAGAAAAATAACTGAGCTGAAAATGTTTTGCTAGAAATTCAAGGAAAACTCAGGGAACAGAAAGTGAGGAAAAGAACCACCTCTTGAATTTACCATCAATTTTTCCCCCCTATACTACAAACAAGGTCCCTCTGATGCTCAGATTACATTTTAGCTAACTTTTTCTCAGCAAGTCCCAGGATACCATCCAAAACTGAAAAACAGGAAGCAGTTAGGTTGGCACTGTGTGTAAGACACCACTAGCTTTGCTCTTTTTAGTACTTCAGTACAGCATTTTTGCTAAATCAATCTCATGGAAGCCACATAGTACATGCTGAAGACAGAGTCCAGTAGATTTTTAAGTGCTTTGTCATGACTAACCCAAATATTAAGGTGGCAACACAAACTATATATATAGAACTATCTCTATGTGTATATAAACAGCTGTCTGTCTTTTGCTGATAGTTTAGAAAAAAGAAGTACACACCTGGGAGAATCATTTAAGAAGTTCAAAATGAAAACTGAAAAACTGAGGTAAATATTATAGTCCACAGACCAGAAAAGATAGTATTAAAAATGCTTACTCTTTTCAGAATGTACGTAATGAAACTGAAGGCCCTTTCCCTAACAATTCTAGCTGCAAATATAATTGTAAGTATTTTTAAATGCAAGGATAGAGTGCTTGTACACAATGGGAAATACTGCTAGGAATCCCCAGTCTTCCCTCCATTCATCTCAGAATTAGCACCCAACATGAGAGATCTCAGATAGGAAAGTTGCAGTTACTGTCAGCATGTAGTTTATGTCTGTGTGCAGACACACAGAGCAGTCTGTGCAAAAACCTCTCCACAGACTGCTCTAAATTAATTGTTTAGACTTTTCTTTTGGATGCAAGTTGCTCATATGGGTAGAACACGGATAGAATACAAGGGAGCCATGGCCTAAAAGCTGTGCTTTTTGGCCCAGCTATAATATCGCACTTTGAGACTCAAGCGTTTTCCTAAGGCTAGTCAAGGTATCTCAATATTTTGCATACCCTATTAGCACCATCCCCTGCCACCACCTCTTGCAAACTCGGTGACAGCGCACATAGAAATGAACACTGGGATCAGTTCATGCAGGTGGAGAAGAAGCATATAGTATTTGTAGCCACAGAACTATAAATGTACATAGACTTAGAATAAAACTAAATATAAAACGTTGTATGGCATCCTAGTGCTCTTGCTTGCACATCCTCCAGGCAAATGTTTTGGCTGCTTTTCCAAAAAGCATGACTCAGGTAAGTCAAACAAGCTTGACCACAGGTTAATTATTAAGTAAGAAAAAAAAAAAGACTTTTGCAGAGAAAAAAAAATAAGAATAGATCCCTGGATAGATATTATCTACCTTGAAATAGTAGTATTATTAGTTACAGATATTCTCCAGTTTTTACGATCAAGCTTTGCCTTCAGTCAATATTTAATAGCACTTAAATAACAACATTAGTGTGTGGAAAATACGGGTAAGACAGAAACTAGAAAGGCAGCTTTTGATATATATATATATATACTTTTTTTTTTAATTTGCAGATTCAAGAGGTTCAAAGTCAAATGAAAATAATATGGAGAATGACCCACGAAAGAAAGATGCCACTTACCACTAGCGTGGCAGTAAGTTGCCTATGGACAAATAAAAGCTACCGCGAAATACAGAACACCGCCCGGCCCCAGTGATTGGCGCGAGAGAGCCCGGGGACGGAGCCCGGGGACGGGACCTGGGGAGGCCCCTCCGCCCTCCCCCGCGCTCCGCGTTTCACCCCATGGCGGCGCC